GAGAATTTCTGAACAATTACTTCAGCTAATTCCCTCAAGAGTCACCGAAAATTCCAAGAGAGAAAACCTAAGAGAATGCCTTCAAAATCCTTAGGAAAACCTAGTTTTCCTTCCCTTTGAAGTGTGCAATCCTTTGAGTTCATGAGCTTGGATGCTTCCTTCTTCCATTTCCGCAAATTGTTCTTCATCTTCACGAGTTCTTCAAGTGTGTTTCTATCTCCATTGAAGAAGATCCGAGCCTAGGAGGAGTTTAGAAAGAGTTTGAGCTTCACTCCTACTACTCACCTCCATCAAGATCAGTTGTGATCTAATTAGATAGCGGATCTCGTTTGGGCTGAGATCTTCTCATATCAGTTATGATCTAGTTAAGTGACGAGCTGACGTCACGTAGCGCGTATCCGAGGTCGTCATGCACTGTGATGCTGAGTTGGGAGCTCGGCCTTGCAGTATGGATAGTACACTAGCCCCCCCAGCTCCACAGACCGTGGGTCGAGGCGTTACGACCGAGCTCGTCAAGTGGCTGTGACCCCTCGCGTACGCGTGCTTGGTGAGATGCCATGTGTCATAACTGGTCATCTCCCGAGAACGTGCAAGTGGCGCATTAATGGGGGTGACGGTTATGTAATGATGGTTTGCCTTTATCATAATTGTTTTCAATTAATGTGTCATCAAACGCGTCCCTTGGCTGACACGTGGCGTGATCGTTTTGAATTTTGGAGAAACCCTTTTCTCTCCCTCGCGCCTCTTCCCCTTTCACTTTACTCTTTTTTCGCTTTCTCAGCTTCTTATGCACGTTGTTTCTCTCGTTTTCGTTTGTCTTCCGTCTCCATTTTCTCTGTTTTTTCCGTCATTTCCGGTAACCCCGTCATTGTTAGGGTTGTTTACTGAGGAAGAATACTAGGTACTTCCTTTCTACAATTTTCTTTTTCCTTCTTTCCCAACCTTCTTCGAGTCTTTCTGTTTCTTTAATGGCTGGTGGAAGTGGTGCTGGCTCCTCTGCGCCTGCCAAAGGTAAAGGCAAAGCGCGGGGCAAGGCGACAGCTACCGGAATGGCCGCCGCTGGGAAAAAGAAGGAGATGGCGCCGCCAGCGGACCTCGTTCCAGGTATTCCTGGGTACGACTGGGTTCGGTGTGAGATGGCGGGGGTCAAGAGCGTTTTTCGGTCCTTTCTTGAGGTTAATGGGATCTTGAAATCATGCAGAGTTTGTGACCCTTCCATTTCCCAGATGATCCGGCTTGAACCTTGTCAGGCTGGTGAGGGTGTGTACATGGGGAAGTCTACTGACCCTCCCCACTTCTATATGTACCATTGTTTTTTTAGGGATTTAGGTGTCTGCCTTCCCTTCACTCAGTTCGAGTGCGATTTTTTGAAATTTGTCAACTCGGCCCCTTGCCAGTTGCACCCCAATAGTTGAGGTTTTTTGAGGGCTTTTCAAGTCCTGTGTTCGGTTTTAGGGATAGAGGTGTCCCTTCCCGTCATTCTTCATTTTTACCAGTTGAAGATAGGCGTTCCGCCATACACTACAAGAAAAACTGTTATTATCTACGGAATATTATCTACGGAAATTTTTCCGTAGATAATGTTTAATTATCTACGAAATATTATCTACGGAATTTTTTCCGTAGATAATATTTAATTTTCTACGGAATATTATCTACGGAATTTTTTTCGTAGATAATGTCCAGTTATCTACGGAAATTTCTGTAGATAACTTAGCTACGGAAATTTCTGTAGATAACTTATCTACGGATATTTCCGTAGATAACTTATCTACAGATAATTCCGTAGATAAATTCCGTAGGTAAAACATATTTTTATTATCTTTTTATTTTTATAAAATAATTAGAATATTTAATTTAACATCATTAAAAAAAAATAACTATTATAAAATTTATTATTTTTTAATTTAATTATTTATTATAATTTTTTTAGTTATGATTTATATAATATTTTGATTTAATATTAAATTTCTTTTAATTATAATATTTTAATGTATTTTATTTAAAATATTAGTTAAACAATGTGCCCATAGCCTCTCCCACAACAGATCTTTGGCAAACCCTCCAAGAGACATGGTCTTTGGCAAACCCTCCGTGTCTCCTCCTCCCTCCAGGATCTCTCCTCCTCGCCGCAGCCTCTTTCTCCAAAGCCACACCCCCGCCGCGCCGGAGATGCCTCCTCTTGATCCTCCTCCTCTCCCTCCTGCTCCCCCTCCTATACACCCTCTACTCCCGCTCCCACGCCTCCGCCAAATACTACGTCGTTCTCGATTGCGGCAGCACCGGCATCCGCGTCTACGTCTACAAGGCCCAAATCCACCACCGCCCCAACACCAACCTCCCCATCGCCATCCACTCCCTCAAATTCAGGTTATGAAGGTATAATTCCACTCACTCTCACTCGACAACTTATTTTCCTAGGGTTTCCGAGCCAATTCTTTTTTTATTTTTGAAATCGTTCGATCTTTAGCAATTTCTTGTGCTACTTAACAGGTACTGGTTAATTCGTTTGGAGAGCTTGAGGGTAATGCATTTCTTGAACCTAGGACTGCGCAAGTAGCAATTGTTGACCATGTTAAACAAGTAACTCCTCTCTCAATTTCTTAAATACTGTATCAGAAGCTAATTTTTTCTTTTGAATATCCATATTTCTGCTTAACTTTTCGTTTCTTTCTAAGGAAGGGGATAAGCAAATTAGACATGTATTATACTCACTTAGTCTTAGTTGTAATGAAGGTGGAACAAATTAAAGGTAATGATGATTGTAATCTGGATCTTCATGCATTCATCTCAACAGATACTGTTAGTCTTATTATACATCTTTTATTATGCATATTTTTAAAATGAAATTCTAATTTTGATAGTATTGTATGCAAGTTTTATCCGATTGAAACTGTTAAGTGAAGTGCTAATTTGTTTGTTTGCAGTGGGCAAGAGTGCCGTGTTAGGGGACAAATGACTTTTGGGTGAGTCATGACAGATCATACAGCGAAGTGGGACAGAGGAATGTCAAGGGGCGTATATGGGAGAAGGTAATTCATGAGTAGATGGATGTTGAGTTTAATTTTGACAGTTGTGAAGATATTTACACTATCAAGTAAATAAGAATCACCTAGATGACTTTTATAGTCATTATTAGTAACTTAATAATCTTAACATATGACAATTTAGTAATCCATAATTGGATGATTGTGTATAAATCTTTTGATGTCAGTGGATTTTTATTAAATTCAATCCACTTTGCCTTGTTTTGTTTTTCTTATAGTTATAATCACTTAACAATAACTATGGTATGCATTCTCTATAACAGTCTATAGTGAAACTAGTTTCTCTATTTCTATCACTGTATGTTCCTTCTAGCTCTTTGACTCCTGCTGACGAAGGAGAAAATGGAACTGGCCAACACAACCTTCAAAAGAAAATGCTTCACAAATTTATACTTGTTGGTTCTGTCAAGTCTGGAACATGTACCATATTTAAACAGGTAAGATGCTGCTTGAGGAAAATTATTTTGTCATGCATTTGTTTTGTTTTTGATGTGTTGCCAATGTCAGCTCTTGAATTTACTTGTAGTCTTAGTCTCATAATATGAGACAAAATCTAATCAAAATATTAAGGTCCCCAATGCAGCCCCTTTTGTCCTTTTCTCCATAATATTAGTTTTAGAAAGTAGAAATGCACTATAAGTCTGCTTGGATACACATTTAAAAACGTTTTTGAAGGTTTTTCTATTGAAAAATGCTATTTATTTTTTGGTAGAGAAACTCTTATTAATTACTTTTCAGGTGGGGGCCCATTACTTTGAGGAAGGAAATGTGCAGTTAGATGCGAAACATGAATGCAAAGATGCAACTCTCTTTCAGGTTACCATAAATCACCATTACGTTGCAATTTTATTTTTATTTGGTGTGAATGTATCGCTTAAGTTATATGTAATATCTTTCCTTCCATATATTTTTTGCAATTTAATGTACTTATGAAAAATTCTGACATAAATGTGCTTTATATTTCATCTGGGTAACTTTTCCATATGTGGCTTTGCTTTCCATCTCTACGGTTGTTACTTTGTAATTTAAATAAATTGGTAGAAGCAATAGGTAGAAGTTGTTTGTGATTGCTACATACACTTTGTTTTGCTACTGACACTTGTATGTTTCCTTTTTGGAGCAGCAGTTACAGAACAGCAGAAGCCACCTAGTTTTGTCTATGACAATAAAATACATGAAAGACGTGATGTTAAACCAAATAAGGTTGGTTTTCTTTCTTATATGACAATGTAATTTTGATCAATAAAATGAAACTTGTCTTGCTCTGCTTATTGATCACAAATTTGGAATGTTGAAGATAGTTATGCTAATTGGGTACCTATTTTAAAGCTTGTCCATGTCAGTGTATGGGTGTGTATTCATTTAGTTCAGATGCTACTTGCTAAATAATCAATTGGTAGTTTTAGGTTGAAAAAAGATACTTGAATTTCTATTTTGGTTTTGATGAATATGTACTTTTATTTATCAAATATCTTTTATTTAGATTTTAATCTTGTACAATGGAATGGAAGGACACTGGTGGTAAGGATGGAGGTAGCCTAAGCTTTCATTGCTTTTTTTTTTTTTTAAAAAAAAATAGAATGTCTAGATTTTGGTTTTTTTTTATCAGCAGATTTTCGTGTGTGCTTGCTTATTGAATATATATTTATGTTTAGTTTGACTGCCGTTTGTCTAGTCTTGATGTATGTGCTGATTATCATTTTAGTTTATAAATACTCTTTTGATACAAATAATCTTTTGTCTGTGTTTTTACAATTTGAGGATATGGAAAACCTGTTGTTATTATTTGTTCATATTATTTGTACAGATAGTGATTTTTTTTACTGCTTAGTTGCTTTATTTTTTAGCTTTGATTTTAAATTGAGCTCCATTCTAGGCTATGGCAAGGACATCTCGTGACCATCAATTTCTACCAAAACAATCTAGCATCAGGCCTGATGCTTTTGGACATTGCAACATGGATCATAGCTTGCACTCTTCAACTACTTACCCTTTTTCTGCTGCATTTTTTTTTCTGATTGCATTTTGTTTTCGAGTTTTGTTGCTGGTACTTGTGTAATTGTGTTGATTGTTGAAGTGGATTTTATTTTTTTTTTATTTTATTTGATTTGAATTGTTTGACTGTTTTGAATCTGAGTTGCTATTAGATATTTTGGTGCTGGTTTTCATTTTTAATTATTGGTGCTGGTAAGTTATCTACGGAAATTTCCGTAGGTAACTTATCTACGGAAATTTCCGTAGGTAAACGCATCCGTAGATAAATTCTGTAGATAAACGCATCCGTAGATAAGTTCTATATCCGTAGATAAAATCCGTAGATAACGTTATCTACGGAAAATTTTCCGTAGATAACGTTATCTACGACCTTATTATCTACGGATTTTTTTCCGTAGATAATCCGTAGATAATTATCAGTTATCTACAGATTTTCATCATTATCTACGGATTTTTTCCGTAGATAATGCTGATTTTTCTTGTAGTGATATGGCATACTGTCTTTGAGTGGGAGTAGGGATGGGGGTTTGTTTACTCTCTACTCCCAGTCCTACAAAAACTTCAAACAAGAGTTTTTCTGAGTTGCTCTTGTGAATGTCGACCCACTGGAGGATGGGGCGTTCTACTTCGGCGGGCTGCCAAAATTCCCTTTCTATTGGTGCCCCAAACCGTCTAGGTTTCACGGGGTGGGCCAATTGAAATTGACGGCTTCGGAGGCGGCCGCCATTGAGAATCTTGTTGCGCTTCCTCGCCCGCCGGATTGCAAGCTCGTCTTGTCGCTTGCGAATTCAACGTACAAGGAGAGGGGCCTGGAGAGTGAGTATCTCGTCTTCTTTAGATTGTTAGGGTTTGCAAAACCTTCTTTTGCTGATGTGTTTTGCTTTTTGTGTTTTCAGGCATAATGGGCAAGAATAAGTGGAAGGAGTTGAAGCACCGCTACAACATTGCTGACCTTGAGGTTCCCGAGCCTCAGGAGGAGGAGATGTCCCCCTGAAGGTCAACCGAAAAAGAAAGAGGGGCAAGAAAGAGGTCGGGGGGACCTCTGCCCCTCGCGGAATGGAGGAGGTGACCTCCAAGGCTGCAGATGCTGATGCAATCGATCTCAGTGGGAGCCCTCCGCTTGGGGAGGTTCCCCAAGTGGCTGTTGCAGGGACTACTGAGCAAGCTGTTCCCTTTGCCGAGGTAGGTGTTTTGTGCTTTAATTTTTCTTCTATGTTGATTTGGTTTGGTTTGTTGAGGTGTTGTCTCTCTTTGCCTTCTTGCTTCTGTTTGTCTCCATTTTCACAGTTTCTGTAACTCGGAATGGGCCACCCCAAGTGGGTGCAAGCTTCCCATCTGACTTGTCTTTCCGTGCTTCGCCTAGCAATCGCCACACCAAGTCACCAACTCGGAAAGAGCGAGGTCGCACTCGTGTGTTGTACCTTCGGGAAGCTCGGAACTTGCAGGCTTCTTCGTGGATTTGAGCTTCATCTCTAAGCTCGTCCACCAAGTCGAGGTCGGCCGCCAACTCTTGAGCGTTCTGCTCGCTATTGAAAACTTGACGTCGGTAGGATGTCTCTCCGACTTCCACTGGGATCATTGCGTCAATCCCGTAAGTTAGCCTGTAAGGCGTTTCTTGCGTGGTTGACTAGGGAGTGCAATGATATGCCCAGAGGATGTTAGGAAGTTCGTCGGGCCACTGTCCTTTGGCATTCCCCAGCCGCTTCTTGAGTTCCCGGAGGATGACTTTGTTGGCTGCTTCGGCTTGGCCATTGGTTTGGGGGTGTTCCACCCAGGTCGGAAGATGTTTGATGTCGAGTTCGCGGAGGAAGTCCTTGAATCCCTGTGCAATGAATTGTCGGCCATTGTCAGTAACGAGGGTGTGAGGGATTCCGAATCTGCAAATGATATTCCTCCAGGTGAATCTTTGCACGTTCTCAATAGTGATTTTGGCGAGTGGGCATGCCTCGATCCACTTGGTGAAGTAATCGATCGCCACTAGGAGAAACTTTAGTTGACCTTTCGCAGGGGGGAATGGCCCGAGGATGTCCATCCCCCACTGGGAGAAAGGCCATGCCGACATCATATGGGGGAGAGCTTCGGGCGGTTGCCGGTGTGTGTTGCCGAACTACTGGCACTCTTTGCATTTTTGGATGTAGTCTTGGCAGTCCGACTTCAAAGTGGGCCAGTAGTACCCATCTCGGAGTACTCTGGTCGCCATTGAGCGTGCTCCGGAGTGCATGCCACATATGCCCCGATGAATTTCTTTGATGACGTAGGCCGCCTGAGGCGCGGTCAAGCATTTTAGTAGTGGGGTAGAAACGCCACGTTTGAATAGCTCATCCCCAACAATGATGAACTTAGCCGATCTCATCCTCATCTTTCGAGCTTCGTCCTTATCTTCGGGCAGGATTCCTTCTTTCAAGTAACCCCAGATGCCTGTCATCCATCCCAGGTCTTCATTTTCACTGATGTTGACGATTTTGTCGTCCAGGCTAGGTGAGTGTAAGGTCTCCTGGATGATAGTTCGATGTTGTCCCGGCCTTTTGGTGCTGGCGAGCTTCGATAGGAGGTCAGCTCGGTTGTTTTGTTCTCGCGGCACATGTTGTATGGTGAACTCGTCGAAGGACGATATCTGGTGGGATGCGACGTGGAAGTACCGCTGTAAAAGTGTGTCCTTTGCTTGGTACGTCCCACTGAGTTGTTCCACCATGAGCTTCGATTCGCTGTTGCAACTCACTTTTCGAGCTCTGAGGTCGCGGGATAGCCGCAGTCCTGCGAGGAGCGCCTCATACTCCGCCTGGTTGTTGGTCACCTTGAAGCTAAACTTGAGGGATTTCTCCACGGTGACTTGGTTTAGGCCTTCCAAAATGATGCCTGGGGCTCTTCGGCAATAGTAGGCGTGAGCTCGGCTACAAAGTCGGCCAGGCATTGAGCTTTTAGGGGTCCGTGACTTTCGTACTGGATGCCGAACTCTGACAATTCTACTGACCATGCAATCATCCGTCCGGCGAGCTCGGGCTTTCGCAGAATTTGCTTGATGGGGTAGTCAGTTTTGACTACCACCTGGTGACTCTGGAAGTAGGGTCGGAGACGCCGAGCTGCGGTGACAAGTACTAGTGCCAGTTTCTCGATCATTTACCCCCTTAAATTAAGGAGGCTAACATCTCCTGAACTTAGCTAAATCTCTCCCATCCTGAGAGATCACCGGTCTAGCTGCCTCAATCGCAGCTCTACCCGCCTCCATCTGAGCAAAGTGAGCACCTTGTTGCTACATCACCATGGTCATCATCTCCATAGCCCTAGCGATCTGATCAAACTGAGACCTCACCATACTAAAAGAATTCAAACATTCTTTTACTAACACTTCACCACTACAACTAGGGATGGCAAATATACCCGTACCCGTGGGTAATACCCGAACCCATCCCGACTTTGACGGGGAATACCCGGTTTGACCGGGTACGGGTACGGGTAAAACCCGATATATTAAATCGGGTACGGGTACGGGTACGGGTATGTACTTACCCGCCCCGTACCCGTCCCCGTTCCCATTTTTAATTTAATACCCACTTTCAATTTAATTATATTAAA